CACAACCTGGAGCTCAGGAAATGCTCTTTGTTTTCTCCATCTTTTCCACTGTCCCCACTGCCACCCACTGGGGTGCAGAAACAGGGGTGGGGGTACTAGCATTTCACCCGCCTCCGATGGGCCCCACAGTGGACCAAGGAGGGAAGGGGTGTTTCCATGCGCTACGGCTCGAAACATTTCCTGCTGCAGAAGCGAGGTGGATCATTTGTGGGGGGCGAGGGGGGGCAGTTAGCGACCAGGTTGGGTAGGTACTGACCTGCTACAGGCCAGGCCCAGGTTCCCGGGGCCCCTGCTGGTCCCTGAGGAGGCCGCGCAGGATCCCGCCAAGGGATCAGCGCGGAGGGTCTAGCCACTTGGGGGTGGCCCCTAATTGCCAAATGGCTCGGAGATATTGAGCACCTGATAGGTATCCTGACTCGTGCTGACTGACCTACCTCCACGCTGCCTCGTCCTCCTTTGGGGTGTCGCTGCCTTGGGTCTTTCTGGGTGCACACGGGAGACGATGGCTTGCATCAAAGGGATTTCTCTACCTCGTTTCTGCTGCTCCCCACTCTCCTGCCATCCTGCCAACCCTGTGCCTCTCACCCAACCGGACCCCAGCTCGGGTCACGCCTCCCTTACCTTCAGGCCCCAGAAGTGGGAAGCTGAGGTGACAAGGGCATGAGGGCCAAGACGTTGGGTCGTGTAACAACAGGAAACCCTGTGCTCCGCGGTGGTGTCTCACCGGGTCAGCCAGGGAGGGACCGGGGATGAGATAATGCAGACGGTGAACGGTTCCCCATTTTTCGTTTGTTTGTTGTGGTCCTGTCGGCTTCTGCCCGAACTTCATGCCCCGCTTCCCTTTGGGGCTGGGTCCCACAGAAGCGTTCCCTTCCCACCGTCTCAGGCCCCCACTTCCCTCTCCTTGCGGCTGGTGGGTGGCAGCAGGATCCTGTTTTCAAATGCAACCTGGAAGCCCCGTGTGTGAAAGAGATGAGTGGGAGCCGCGCAAGCTGGGATGTTGCTTCCACCACCATCTTCCCCCGAGCTCTGCCCCCATCGATTTCATTCCACCTTCTGTGGGGGTGGTCTGGCCCCTATGCTGCGGCCCCCTTTGTGAGCTTCACCTGGGTCCTTAACACCAGGTTAATCGCTAGTCTGGCGATACTCTTAAGAAGGTGCCAGGAGCCAATCAGAAAGGATATAGGCACCCCTATGTTCATAGCAGCACGATTTACAATAGCTAAGATTTGGAAACAGCCTAAGTGCCCATCAGCAGATGAGTGGATTAAAAAACTGTGGTACATCTACACAATGGAATACTACGCTGCTATAAAAAAGGAGGAACTTTTACCATTTGCAACAGCAAGCATGGAACTGGAGAGCATTATGCTAAGCGAAATAAGCCTATCAGAGAAAGATAAATATCACATGATCTCACTCATATGTGGGATATAATGATCAACATAATTTGATGAATAAGAACAGATCGATCTACAGACAAATGATAGGGGAGAGGTGGGATTAGAGAGAG